CAATGTTGTCTCATTTACGTGGAGACTAATTTTATTATGTTAATTTTTTTTTTATATTAGAAATTTTAATCCTACCAATTATTTATAAGTTATAGCTTTTTACACACTTTTTACCCCACCAATGCTGACTGTATCTTCTATCAAATAGCTACCTCATTGCCATGTTCTTCCACATATAAAGCTCAAAACTAATTCCCAACATGGAAAAGGTATAAATCTGGATTATATATACATCAAGTTACTTGCACTAATAGAAACTTCTATAGTTAAAATTGTAAGAATATGGAGAAGGATATCATCAGGAACAAAAGTTCTCCTGTTTTCTAATAGCATGAGTCTTTTCTTGCTCTTAAATAAATTCATGTATATCCTCTGGAGATGTCAGTCTTCACCAGAAACACCTACTGCACATGCCAAGTTATCACCCTCTTTTTCTCTCCTAGTGTGTGTCATAAGAGTAATAATTTTACACTTCAGTCTTCTGGTATGGATTCCCCAGTTACCCAATCTTTATATGAACCTAGAAGAGGAAAATAAACTATCCATACAATATAAATTAACACCAGAATACTTTATATTCAAAAATATGATTCGCTGGTAGACACACACACACATCCAAGACATTCTTAACTTTTTTTTAACATCCCAAATTATTAAACACAGAATTTATTTACTTTAAATAACTTTTTATTGCGATACATGAAGTCTGACAATCTAGTCAAATCATTAATTACAATCTAGTTATCCAAAAGTAATAGTCAAGTAATCAATAATTCTACAGTGATAGTCCACTAAGCAAATATGATGTAATTATAGTCTAATGATTCCACAGTGATAGTTCAGTAGTCAATACTTAGAAGATCATGTAAGGGTAAAAAGAAAACCTAAAAAGTGAATATTTAGAATTTATTTAAATGTTCCTCTTAAAATTAAGAATTCAAACTTATATAACATTAAAATTTGAATTACAAACTATATTTGATGCCAAGTTTATGACGTGCACTTTAGCTCTCACCCATGCACAAACAGTAAATGATAGCTCTGTGTGACGTTCGTGGTCAGTAGTCCAGTTCCTTTAGCTCAAATCCAATAGTGAAGTTAATACAGTTACTGTCTAGTAATGATAGCTTAGAGGTGCAAGTTAAAAGAAACCTTTATGTCATCTTGTATGTGACATAAGTTTTATTAAACATAATTTGGTATTTGGAATATAAACATAAAAATCAAATAAATGTAAATGTAAATTACAATCTTGGAGAACAATATCTGTTTATCTCTTTCTGAACGGGCATCATTTTATGCACATGTCAGGGAGTTTTAGTGAGTTATATTCAAAATTTAATTAAACTACTTTCTTATCATGGTATATAAATGCATGTCATGGCATAAAAATATAGCTAATAATCCAAATTTTATTAGTATATTATTGTTAAGCTGTAATTTTATAAGGTAGGTGTTAAAAAAATCCTCAATTTTCACTAGTGTGAGATATGTGATATTTGCTCTCTAGGTGTTACCTCTTCTCTTAATTTATTTAACACCCCTCCAAGAAGTGTTAAATTTAATGTAAATTACTAATTTTCATTATTAAGGTAAAGCATAATTTTTATAGCCTTCAATTTTATTTGGTTACGGAGCCACAAATAGAAAATCAGACTCCACTTGCCATGCCCACCTGTCACATCCTCTCTTTGAGAAACTGGCAATAGTTCTGTCTGATGTTTAATTCTACATTATTTACAACCAATAGAAAGCTACAGTTTTAATCTATCAAATGATGTATTATGTTGTTTTCTGTACATAGAACTTTCTTTTTCACTTCCAGTACAACTTAATTCCCATAGGAAACACATTGATGAGCTTAGCTGAATTTGTAACAGCTACTGTCACATAGTTAGAAAGCCAGAAACATTGCGATAGTTATGGGACATTGTGTGCTTTTTGCATGTTATCATTCTGTGTTCTTTGATGCATTATTTAATTATATAACAGGTTATTTAGTGCAGTAGTACCATTAGTATAAAAAGTAGGTTTAAGTGTCTTCAACAGTTGACAGCCAAAAAAACAAAAAAGACAATGTAGGTAAGTACTATATTTCTTGTCTTTCATGTGTATTCTGTTATTTATTATTATAAAAGTAACTAAAAATGTAAAAATTAGAGACTTTTTAGGTTAGATAAGGTTAGATTAGGTAAAATAAATAATAATAATAATAATAAAAAATTTTCACAAGGTACTCGTGAGTAGCCCATGTGTTATGTAATTTGATAGAGTAACATGAGCTTCATGTTGACCAATTGATTTTAAAATTTTATAACAGGAATATTAATTTAAACATGGTTCAAAAGGCAGTAAAACAATAAACTTTAAGTACAAACAGATGTATACCATTACGAGTTTAAAGCTATGTAGTTTCATGTTACAATATAAAGTCATTCTAGAAAGAAAAAAAGGGTAATTTAGATTTATTTAGATTTTTATTTTGGTGGTTACAAGGTCGGTCAAATTGACCAACCTCTTCTGTAGTATTAGGGTAGAGAAAATAACAGATAAAATACAAAGTTTTACTGAAAAATAATGTTCCATAATTATTTAGAAGGTTTTAGAGATTACACAAATGAAATCTAAAAATGTTTAGATGAATAAAAGTATTTTTAATCTTAACATGAAAATCACTTTGCAATCAGACTAATACACAAAACATCTTGATATATTCACAGACAAATCTTCATTAAAAATACTTAATTAAAAATTGAAATTTTTTGTGTACAAAAGTTTTGTAATGTTTCCTGAAAGTCTGCCAAATTTTATGAAGATACACATACTGTATTAAAAGTTATAGTATGGAAACTGTAATGGGCACAAAATGGTTATGAACTTGAACTCAGTCGATTCAACCAAGCCAATGTGGAAAGAGTTATGCAGGTAATCAAATAAACGATTTGTGTGAAAAAACAACAACAA